AGACAAAAAAATGAGTGATCATTGGAGAAAGGATTTGACTGTAAAGGGGCAGCGCAAGGGAATGTAGGGAGGGATGGAACTGCTTTCCATCTTGATTGTGGTGGTAGTTATACATCTGTGCTTTTGTCAGAACTCATAGAGCTAGACACCAAAAATGAATTTTTCTGCATGTAAATTTAGAATTGGGGAAACAATCAGGAAATTAACATTGATACAATGTTATTAGTTCATCTACAGACCTTATTCAGATTTTTCCAATTGTTCCAATAATGTCCTTTATACCATTATTTTGTAATACCCACTCAATAGTTACCCATCAAAATCAGACAAAATAGAGGGTCAGGAGAAAGAAAATTTGGGATATGGGCTAGATAGTTACTACTTATCCTGTTAGGCTCAGATCAGTATTTTTCACTATATAATTCAGTATAGAGGAATTTACCATCAATTTTGTTTCAGCTCCCAAAAATAATCTCAGATCACAAGCTGCATTCAGTTGTCATGTCTAATTTCCTTTAACCTGAAACAGTTCCTTAGTCTGTCTTTGTATTTCATGACCTTGACATTTTTTTGTTAAGTACAAAGTAGTGATTTTATATGATGTCCCTCAATTTGGGTTAGTCTGATGTTTTCTCATAAGCACATTGGGTTTATGTGTTTTTGGTAAGGTAACCTCAGTAGTAATAACACATCATATCAAGAGGCACCTAATGTTAAGGTTGTGTCTGCCAGATCTCTCCACTGTGAGGTTACTGTGTTTCTTTTTGTAATTATTAAATATCTTATGGAGGAATATTTTGAGATTATGTAACCATCCTGTTATTTGTCTAACTTTCACCCACTAATTTGTGTGATGAACCTTACTTGCATCAATTAGTTGCCCTTAAACAGAACTTATTTGACATAACTTAGCTTGAAGACCCAGGGCAATTGTGAACATTGCTTACTGGGGTGCATCATAGATAAAGATACAAGGAATAACTGTGCTGCTGAACTCTCCTGGGTGATACTGGAGAGCACACAGCTTTGAGAACCACTGAGGTGACCATTTAGATATACATGGCTATTTCATCATTCTCTCCACTCTCAAGACTATAGAGCTATTTATCTCTTATTCACTGGTTTTCTGGCTCTTCTCTTCACTTTTAGGAGGGTACCTTACTCCTTGCTTCTGATATCATGACTGTTTAATGACCCTCCTCTATTGTATATAACAACAGAGTTGAATTTTTAGTGCTGATTTGGTTTCTCATGGTGGATGGTCATTGTAAAAAATGTTGGATTAATCTATCTAAAAAGAACTAGCTATAACAATGCTTGTTTTTCTTTTTCCTGTTTGTTAAGAGTTACTCTTTTGAACAACACAACCTATGTATATCCTTTGCCCTCATGGAGTGGAGAAGGGAAAGGAGCTCCTCTACAACTCTGTGTTCTGCTCTCAGATAGTCATTATCCTTTAGCTCCCTTCACCTGTTCCTACCTTAGACCGTCTCATAATACCCACTCAATAGTTCCCTATCAAAATCCAGCTAAACTAGAGGGTCAGAAGGAAGAAAATTGTGGATACAGGTGAGATAGTTACTACTCATCCTATTATGTTCAGATCACTATTTTTTTTTTTACTATGTGATTTAGTATAGAGAGCTTACCATCTATTTTGTTTCATCCCAAGCACCTGTAGAGTAAAAATGTGATTTATAATGTCTTTAGTATAACAAGCTTCCCCCCAAAATTATTTAGAATTTCAAGTTTATAATGATATTTTAACAAAACATAATTAATTTTGAAATATAGGACCTTACATTGAATTAAACAGGTTTAGATTATCTGAAATGGTATTTAAAGGATGGCAGAACTTCATGGTCTGGGGAATAGTCACTTGTAAATTATAAGTTTATAATTGAATACTGGCTTAATTGAATACAGGCTTAACTTTTTATTATATAAGATTTAATTTGGGCATTTAAAACATTGATCTATACTTTAAGAAAAGTTAAATATACAAATTGATTTTATGGGTTTAATGTTGACCTTTTCCCTCCTTTGTCTGATTCTCCTATAATGGCAAATATTGCTAGTTTCCTTATTTGGTATGCCTTATGATCATTAACTCTACTATATCTCTCCTTGATTTTTTTGTAGATAGTCTACATTTGTTTTTTTCAAATTAGGAAGAAAAAGCAATTGGAACTTTGAAGTTATTGACTCTCTGTCCCTTGCTTGTAACAAAGCATGTGTTTTCTTCTTTGTCTTAATTTTAGGGATCTTTACCTTAAAGTGATCATCACAAACGTAAAATATCAAGTTAAACATCATAAGAGAGTTCTACCCAAAAGGAGCACTTTAGAGTACTGACCTGTCAGGCCCACTACAGGTGACACACAAGATACAGGTGTTAGCCACAGAGTGCAAGGGCCTTAAAATGACACTATAAATATATATACACACTATTTTTCCTTTAATATATTTTTAAATATAATATTTGATACAAACCAAAAAAAGTATAACTAATATCTAAGTTTAAAACAGTTATGATCCTATATTCTACCAATGATTTTATACTCATATGAAAATTTTCAGATAAATTCATATGTTGGAAATAATTTCTGGATCTAAAAATACAGTAACTCCCCAGTTAGAATGTGATGAATATATGTAATGTAGTGAATTCATTAACTGCAAATTTGAAAATATTAACATGACAAATGTAGTTGTGGGAAATAGAGCCCAAATAATATGTATTTGGATTTTCTGTATTTTTGCCTTGCAGATAGTGATTCACATGGTATTGATTGCTAGATTTCTTTTCTATTTTTTTTTAAGAATTTGGCGGCATTTCTTTGGAAGATTGGCCCTGAGCTAACATCTCTTGCCAGTCTTCCTCTTTCATTTTTTCTCTCCCCAAAGCCCCAGTACATAGTTGGGTATTCTAGTTGTGAGTCACATTCTACTTCTTCTATGTGGGATGCCGCCACAGCATGGCTTGACAAGCAGTACTAGGTCAATGTGAACCTAACTACTCGGCCGCAGTGTTGGCCCACTTCAGTTATTTTTATTGTGATAAAATATACAACATAAAATTTACCATTTAACCATTTTTTAAGTATACAGTTCACTGCTACTAAATACATTCATAATGTTGCACAACCATTACCCCCGTCCATCTCGGTAACTCTTTCATCTTATAAAACTGAAGCTGTGTACCCATTAAACAGTAATTCCCCAATCCCCACTTCTCCCAGCCCCCGGCAACCGCCATTCTACTTTCTGTCTCTATGATTTTAACTACTCTAAGTATCTCGTATAAGTGGAATCATACAGCATTTATCTTTTTGTGACTGGCTTGTTTCACCTAGTATAATGTCCTCAAGGTTCATCCATGTTGTAGTTTATGTCTGGCTTTTCTTTCTTTTTTTTTTTATAAGGCTGAATACTGTCCCACTGTATGTATATACCACATTTTGCTTATCCCTTCATCTGTCAATGGACATTTGGATTGCTGCCATATTTTAGCTATTGTGGATAATGCTGCTATGAATATGAATGTACAAATATCTCTTTAAGACTCTTCTTTCAATTCTTTTAAGACTCTGCTTTCAATTCTTTTGGGTGTCTATCCAGAAGTGGAATTGTTGGATCATATGATAATTCTATTTTTAATTTTTGAGGAACCGCCATACTGTTTTCCTTAGCAGCCGTATCATTTTACATTCCCACCAACATTTTACCAGAGTTCCAATTTCTCAACATCCTTGCCAATACCTGTTGTTTTCTGTTATTGTGTTTGTTTTTTGGTAGTAGCCTTCCTGATAAATGAGAGGTAGTATCTCCTTGTAGTTTTGATTTACATTTCTGAAATGATTAGTGACGTTGAACGTCTTTTCATGTGCTTGTTGGTCATTTGTATATCTTCTTTGGAGAAATCTCTTTTCAAGTCCTTTGCCCATATTTGAATTGGGTTGGGTTTTTCTGTTGAGTTTTACAACTTCTCTATATATTCTGGATGTTAATCCTTTATCAGATATACGATTTGCAAATATTTTCTCCCACTCCTTGGGGTGCCTTTTTATTCTGTTGATAATTTAGAACACTGAACTCACTTTCAATTGGATTGTTGTTTTTTCCTTCTTCTTAAGTATTTAAAAATCCCATTGATATTTTAGGGTCTTCTAGCTGCTGTTTGAGGTGATAATGGCAAGAATGGACTCTAATCCTAAACTACTGATTAAATGTTGTTTTGAGCTAAGTATTATGCTACTTTTTTGGGGGGAAGATTAGCCCTGAGCTAACATCCACTGCCAATCCTCCTCCTTTTGCTGAGGAAGATTGGCCCTGAGCTAACATCTGTGCCTCCCTTACTCTACTTTATATATAGGAGGTCTGCTACAGCCTGGCTTGACCCAGCGTGTAGGCATGCCCAAGATCTGAACTGGTCAACCCCGGGCCACCGAAGCAGAGGGCGTGAACCTAACTGCTAAGCACCACCAGACCGACCCCTATGTAGCATTTGATAAGGAAAAGAAAATCAAATCTGAGAAGAGGAGGAAGAGAAAAAACTATTTTTTTTTAGGATCCAGACTTTGAGATCTTGTACCAACCAAACATTTACTATAGTTTAAAACTAGTTATTTAAAAGAGAATGTAATAATCATGGTTTAAGTTGTTATCAGCTAAATGTAGACTGGAACTTTCTTGTGTCCAGTGTCAGCCTGCATTTTCAAAGAACAATAAACTAGACTTCTAATGAATATGATCTGCTGGGCAGTGCTTAAATATAGATGAAATACTTTCCACCTAGATCCCTACATACATTTATATACATGGGCATATATTTTCATTTACATAAGTGTATGTCTGTATGTATATAAATCTTCAAATGAATAAATGCATAAATATACATGGTATTCTAGCTTACAGAATTAGAAATGTAATCCAGTTTACTCCCACAGAATAAGATTGAAGGTAATGAGAACTGAATTAAAGCTTACTTTCTTTCACAGAATTCCTCAGAGAGAGAAGACTGTAATAATGGCGAACCCCCTAGGAAGATAATACCAGAGAAGAATTCACTTAGACAGGTATGAAATTCAGTCTTACTTAAAATAAACAGCTACCACAACAAAACAAAAGACAGGAAACTCTCAATTTGCCATTCGTTAAGCACTGGAGCTTAAATTAAGAGTACACTGTAGTTGGTCTGGCTGTAGCCATCAATTTCAATGAAGTAACATTGTTTTTCCAGCCATTTAAAAAATATCCTAGGTATACAAGACAGTCAATTGCTTACATGTAGTGAAAAGAAAATTTAAAAAAAAATGTTTCTTGTTCAGGAAAAATAACTTGAAATGCTTCTTAAGTGCGGATAGTAGAATAGTTGACTTTAAGCCTTATTTTCCTATTAAGATTCTTCATACATTTTTTAAAAATTAATAACCAGAAGAGATCTGCCTATAGTGAAGTTAGCTCCTTTTAGTCTGCATAATATTTGTTTGCTTTTTCTAAAAGTAAAAGCCATTATTGATGACATCTTTTAAAAAAGTTTTACTCACTACTGTGCCCCTGTTCCCCAAAGGTAACACATTTTACTTTGAAAGTTCAATGCCTTGGTGCTCTCTTTTTAAAATTAAAATGTCCAAAAGCATTTGGTAAAAAAATTTGCTCTTCTCACTGCCTGTAGCAACCTCTAACATCTTCCATCTCCCAGTGGCCAAAAAGTAAGTTCTTATAGTCTTGCCAGATAATAGGTATACCACCTATTCATTTTTAATATAAAATTAAATAAGATGAGCACCAGCAGTAATAAAAATAGTTTTAATCTACTTGCATTTATAGCATTATTTTAGGAAAAGGTAGAAAAGATCTAGTATTTGTTGAGCACCCTCCATGAAGCTGATACTTATTTTATTTAATCCTCATGATAACCCTGTAAAGTTGCTAGATGTGATTTCCAGTTTATAGGTGAAGAAAATGCAGGCTTAGAGAGGTTAGATGACTTGTTTAATTAGTCACTGATTTGAAACCCATATCTCAGTGTTACCAAAGCATTTCTACTTCTACCTTCTGACTACAGTTTGTATACAGCGTTAACTTAGGGGAAAAGTACTTGAAACTGTGACACACTCATTTTTTATTTACTATATCTTAAAAACTTTTTGGATGGGCACTTTTCCTTTTTTTATAAAAATAATTATGTAGTAAGTAGAATTGAATCAGTTCAGGAAGCTTTGTAAAAAAAACCAAATGATCAGTAATTGATATTGTGCAGTTACAACTTTAACTATTTGGAGATAAACACCTGATCTGTAAATCTAAATAAATAGAACAATATTGAATAAGGTAAATTTGGAGATGGAAACATTCTGCCCACTATACAGGAACAACTGTCAGCAAACAATGACACGACAAAAAGTTTTGGCAACTTTATTTAAGCTAACAAACGAATTTTCACTCTGCAAAGTTATAAATTAATTTTAATAGGCTGATCCAGATGGTCCATTTGGAAAATGGATAGGCTGATCTGTTGAAAATTAAACTAAATTTATCTCTCTCATACTTCAAACTGAAGCAAGAGAGAGAATCGTGCCTATTAAGTCCAGCACATACAGATGGACCAGCAGGTCACACATGGGACTAATCTGATTCATTTTAAAAATAAATGCATACATTATTGAATCATTTTCTACTTGCAAGATCTGTCGTGTGCAGTATTTGAAAGAGGTTTAATGTTGGGTTTTTTTCATTGCTTTTTAGCAGGTTTGCTTCACCCCCTCCACTTTAACAACTGTTTTTGGTTTTGTTTTTCCTCCTAGTGCTCCAAAATGATTTTTCTAATATCTGTCATTTAGTGTTGAGATCCAAGCTCTGGAGATTAATTAGGTCATGAGGCTTTTCCCCCCTCCCTTCTTTGTAAAGGGTTTTATCTCCATTCTCTTTGTGAAGAGCATGAACTCAATGTTCTTGGAAAGAGAAATGGCCTTTAGAAACAGGGAAGTAGGAGATCCTCCTGGGGCCCTCAGAGTCTTTTAGCTTCTGGGTGTTTTAACAGCCCCATGAATGCAGATTTGTAAATTTATTGCAGTGCCATCTGGTTTTTTGCTGGAACCAGATTACTGTTGGCTTGTGTCTGTCTATTGTGGTGGTCACTCCCTAGGAGCTTGCCCTCTCAGTCTTAGGGAAGAGTGATGAATAGCAGGGGTCAATAGAAGCGGGTCACAGGGCAGCTGTCCAGGACTGCCCTGAACTTGATTACCCCACTGCTGATTTTTTTAATGTAGGACATAATATAGAAGCTGTTTAAACTCGCTCTTTTCTCTATTGCATATGACAATAATGAAGTGCCATTTGCTCTCCCCTCCTCCTCCCTTTAGTCAAGTTATATAGATAAAAAGATGTCAAGGCTGCCTTTTACCTAGAGTTGACGTAAGTAGGATTTGCATCACATAGGCCATCTCTTGAGAATCTTTTGCAGATATTTCTAATGGGATTTCAGGAACTCTTTCACCATTGATTTTAAAATGCTCTATGTTCCAACAAGCTTAGTATTGTTTAAAACTAATTTTATAGATTTCATATATTATTCTAAAGTACAGTTTTACCATTGTTGATAGGATATGACCACTGCATGTTAACTTGGAGTTTTTTAATTATTAGAGGAGCTGAAAGAAAGGTTACTATATTTCTTAGAGACATTAAAAGGATAATAAAGGACTATTAATAATAAACAACTTTAAACCAAAAATTTGGCAACTTAGATGAATGGGCAAATTCCTTGAAAAATACAACTTACTGAAACCGACACAAGGTGAAACAGAATTTGAATAGCCCTATGTCTATTAAAGAAATTGAATTAATTATCAAAAGGCTTGTATGGTTTCTTTGGTGAATTCTGTCAAACATTTAAGGAATAAATAACACCAATCTTATACAAATTCTTTCAGAAAATAGAGAACAACACTTCCTGGCTTGAATTTTGAAGCCACCATATCCATAATTCCAAAACCTGACAAAGACATTTGCAGAAAAAGAAAATATTGAAGGGCAAAGTCAGGAGAGACTGCTCCCTGCATCACCGAGTCATTTTCTATCTCTGCTTTTCCATTTCATGTCCAACAGCAGAAGGCAGGAGAGTTGGGAAGGGTGTGGGGGAAGAAAAGCAATCTATCCGTTTAATTTTCTAAGTTTCAGAATAAATTTCTCACCTTTTGGCATTAAGTATGAGTTTTTATTTAAATGATGTACAAAGTAGCTACAATTTTCTTTCTACTTTTATTCCTAAAATGTGAAGCCAATGAAACCATTGCAACTGTTTTCATAGCTTTTATTCATATCTGCAAACAAGGGCAAAGGCCTGGGAGGATACATGGAAGTACTCTTACTTTTTGAAAATGTAGCCTTACATCATGCAACAACTTCTTTGCTTCACATTGGTGCTAATAGGATCTGTCAGCCCTGCCTTTCTCTGTAATTCAGTAAATTGTGACCTCTATCTAATCCTTCCCCCAACCCCCATTCCCTTTGTGTATGTGTCCACTTACCATCCTGAGAACGTGGGCAGTGATAAATAAAGCATTGAGTAGATCTCTCTCAACTCTTTGAAAGCAGCATGATGCCAGGCCTCTAGTTATATTTCTTTAAGTGTTTACGTTTTTCTGTATTCTTTCTCTTGTGTAGCTGGAACCCTGGGGATGCAAAGCCATGAGAGAGGCCAAGAAGCTAACAAAGTAGCTGTCTCCCTTGTTAGCTTGTTCCTTTATTCTTTAAAAACAAGATAAAAACCATCTGGCTCAGGGCATTACATTTTCCTCCCCCATGCACCTCTATAGATGGAAACTTCACCTGCAGTGAGGGTTTACATTGATTAGGGAGGGAGCAGTAATTCAAGCTTCCATCCTCTTCGAGGATACTTTGCAGTCTTTAAAGGTGCTGACCCACTGAGTTAAACTGTCAAGGGAGGATAAAAAAGTATCTTCATCCCAGGAGGTAACAGCTGCCAGGTTTTCAACACCTTGCACGCTGCTGGAAAAATGTCACAATTGTCAGCTGAAAGAAAAATGACTCTGTTGTCATCTTCTGTTAATGACTGGGCCTTATGAAAGGAACTACATAAGCCTTTTAGAAGGAGTAAGTAGCTGTTTTCCTTGCCTACCCCGACCCACCACACCAGATTCCTGTGTTGTTCTAAACATTACCTTGGAGTAGATCCACAAAACACAGCAGTGAAGAACTTAAGGTTAAAACAGCCCAGTGTAAGCATGACGCCTGATTGGCATAGCTCCTTTATACAGTCGGATGAGTAGGAGGAAAAAGCACATCACTAACACAGAAAATGACATTATAGTGTGTATTAACAAAACAACAACAACAACAAAAAGTCATTCATAAGCCAGTGAACTGAGAGAAAACATACTGTATTTCTGCTCTTTGGAGGACAATTTGTTTTCAAGCAACATCCAGATGGGTAAATACCATGACATTTCTTTTTTCAAGAGAGTTGCTTCTTTTCTTCCTTAAAAAAAATCAAACTCACTGAATTTACTTCCTTTAATAACTCTGTAATATTTGTATATGATGGCATTCCCTTCTTTCTGATTTGATTGATGAGGGGAAAAGGTTTAATGAAGTCCCTGATATCAGGCAGGCAGGGTTTTTTTCTATTTGTTTTAGGTTAGTCATTTTAATTGTATTGAGTAATTAGAAGGTACACACAGCCAAGGGAGCTTTGTTCTGATAATTGCTCAAGAAAACCCGTTCCCTGTCTGCCTTTGCTTTGTGTTAAGACATTTCTCCCTCTAGTGGCAATAGTAAGCACTTTGACTCGGCAGTAGGCAAGGTGTAATTGCAATATGACAAACTACACTTAAGGGACTGTCTTGTAAATACTTTAGTTTGGGGTTTGGCATTGTTTCATTATATATGTGTGTGTTTTCCCCTATGAAACTTCCTACTTCTTTTTTATTTTTTTTCCCCCTGAAGATGTTTATTAAAAAAAAAAAAAAAATCACAGTGCATCCTGGGTAATGTTTTGCAGCTTGACTTAATTTTAGTCATCTGTTTTAATTACCTATTTATAAAAATGCTT